GGACTGAGGCGTGAAGAAAGCGTGGGGAGAGGTGGGGTGGGGTGGGTGCACAGGGGAGGAGAAGCAGGGGGGGTACTGCCACGGCAGCGCCCAGCACAGGTGACGTACCCTGGGTGGGAGCTGCGAGCTAACTGGGAACCGGAAAAGATGCTAAAATGGCTGTTAAAAATCCCCCTCCCCCTCCCCGGCACACTCACAAACATATATGTACGTGCTGCCTTCTTCATACCTGCAGGCATAAACCCTGCGTGGTGATGTCCTGCAGCACCCAACGGGACAACTTTCTCCCTGGTCCCCTCAGTCCGTCCTATAGACCTTCCACAGGCGTGGAAAATGATGCTCCTGTAACGGATTTATTTTTTCACAATAGCTTCAACACCTACAGAAATCATCCCTTTCCCTTCTGTATAGATCTCAATTAACTTCAGTGCCTAAGTAATTTCTATGCGTATTGATCTCCGCCTGCAAATTGCTGTAAACTATTATGAGGGAGATGTACGTGTTCGCACAGCCACCCCCCGTGCACGTGTGGGAACACAAATGTATGGGTCTGCATGCACGGGAGATCACGGCGAGGCGTGAGCCTGAGCGAACATTAATGCGCGCACACACCCCCCCAAGCACACATCTTCAAAGTTACAACACAGTGCTTTCTCAGAATATGTATGTGCAGGATAGCTATATCTGTCATTGTGAAAAAAATATTCCAGGCAACAGTTAAACCAAAGTATGACAACGTTGATCATGTTAAAAATATAAAAAGACTGCTAGAATTTTGGGATTTCATCTACCAAAATTCAAATTCGGCGTATTTTATTTACTGTGTCTGGGAGGCACAGTCAGATGCTGTTCTCTTTTTTAGCACTAATGTCACTACATCAACTTCTCTGCCACACCATGGAGTTAGTTCTAATTTATTTTTAATATAAAACTGCCTCTAAAAGAGAGAAAAATCATGTTAGGTTATTATTAAGGCCTTTGCTCTCTAAATATATCTAAACACGTTGTTAACACAAATACACACGCGTGTGCGCTTATACAAACACATGCATATATCGATACAGTTTCTGGAATACCCCTTAGCGCAGACTCCTACATAATCATATTCAGTTGCTATGACATCACTGCAGTTCCCAGTACCCACTATTTTTTTAAGGAAAGTAAACAGCATTTTAAAGAGAATCTAGCTAGCTATCTACATCTGCATGTAATTTAAGGGAAGTGCCTTTTAGGGTCAAGTAGGTATCACTGTTAGTGCTGGTTTTACAGTCTAGAAAAGGGAAATAATTATATGATAATGACATTCAGAGAATATACTAAACTGGGAAGAGTGGCAAACACCAGCTGACACAGAAAAAGACCAAAAGATTAAATAACAAAAATCAGATTCAGCTTCAGAAAATGCACGCAGAGAAAAAGAAGGCAAACTACGCAATCATAAAAGAAGACAGGCAAGAAGTGGAGGAGCAGAAAGCAAGGGGCACGAGTCCGAGGAAGGGGTGTCTATGACCTTGGCCGCTGCTGGCAACACCACACCAAAGCACTGAGGAGCAGTGCAATGGCATTTTGGAATAATCCTATGGGACTTAGGAGCCTCTGCCCCAGCACCAGGAGGTGCTGGGGGCTCATCTCCAAGATGAAGTTCGTGTGTCATGAGCTGGTGGGCACTTGCTAACCCACGCTACTGCTCCCTGTGCCCTCGGGAGATGGGACTTCTCCGGTCAAGCATGGATGTCCCCAGCTGAGAGCGTCACCCTGGACTCCCTTTGCTGACAATGAAGAGAAATGGGAACTTCGAGGGTGTGATGCAGATCATCCTAAAGCAGGAGCCTAAACTAGGTCAGACGAATCACACTTCAGAAGTGTTTTAGAAGCTTGTTTTCTTCACTGACAAGGCCTTTTTAGGGAACCTCCCTGCTGTAGGGAGCCCTGCCGAGGAAAGCCTTCCCAGCCTCCATCCTTCCCAGACACCCACGTGGAGGGGGAGCAGGCTGGCAGCAGAAGGGCTGAGTTGGTGCAGCCAGCTAAGCTCAAGCCACCTTCCTGTGCACACCCAGGGCAGTTGCTCACCACCTTGAGTCAGAGCCAAAGGCAGAGCCACCTCTCTCCATGCCCAGCCCCATGGGCACTCTGTGCTCTAGTTTATCATAAACCACTTTTGCCATATAGACAAAAACCCCTTAATAGGTTCCCCACGCATGCAGAGTTAGTGGTGAGTGGCCAGTCCACTGCAAGTCACATCTGAGCTTCCTCTGAATTAATCTTCTTACATTAGAAGAGCCGTAAGCTGAGACCCAAATTTTCAGGGCATGTCAGTTCCTAACACCCCCTTCTTTCAAATCAGGACCTTTTAAGTACATCTAATAGTTGGACTTTAAATTCTTCAGCCAATTGTATGGTTCTGAAAATCACATCCCAGCATCCCTTGCCCTGCCATTTTGGCTGTCATCACTTCAACCTGTGAGGTAAATTCTGTGGTAACACAGAAGTAAAAAAGGACAAGTCCATCTCAATGAAAAGGCCGAAGGGAATGAGAGGTAATTAAAGGCACAAACTTCAGCCAGGGTATTACTGAACATCAGAAGCAAAACTCAAGGGAAGAAAAGGAGGTGAATCTCCATTTCTTGAAGTCACCAAGTCAAGTTGGGTTGCTTTCATCCAAATGACACTTTTGTCTCTCCACTGCGCTGCCAACACTGGCTTGTTCAGCACTCCTTCAGAGTTTCTGGATAACACTGCATCCCACAGTGTAGACATGCCCTGAAAGGCCCCTTTGACCTTGACTTTTCAATCTACACAAATAAAAGGAAGAGCAGTTCCAAAGAATAACATGAATGGAGGGCTGAGGAAGAGGGCTGGAAGGAGCGAGTGAACAATGACCATAGATTTTAAAAGCTTCATCTGTGAGATTTGACTAAATGACAGCTAAGGAGGTGGAGAAGTGTGGTATTTTCAAAAGCCGTAAGCCTCAAGAAGGAAAAGGAATCATTTGGAGTGATATATAACACACTGCTTGGTGTACGCTGCATGTTCCTTCATTGTCAAGGAGGATATGGTTTAAACAAAGTAATTATTAAGATGACTCCATTAATTCAAAGCTATGTCTTTGATTTAAGAGGGTCCAGATCATTTCAAAGTAACGAGACGTATTGGTGGTTGTTACAACACAGGGTGGGTAGACTGAGAGACAGAAACCAGTGCTTTTTCCCTGTTCCGTTCTGCTGCAAGGTTTAGCGGTGCCTGCAGTCACCCCAGCAGCCCAAGGCCCATACTAGTTCAAGGAAAAAGAATCTTCAGTTCAGCTGCTAATTTAGGTTCAATAGTAAAAGCTTAGATGCAGCTTCTGTTTGAAGAACCACATAGTTTAACCTGCTTCTGTGACTGTAATTGGGCTGATTCCGTGGCCAGATGAAGTTAAATGAAACCAAGAAGGAAGAGAGTTTGCCTTTACGAGCTGTCCCAGTGGTAAGCATGCTAAACTGAAGAGGCGTCTCTGCAAGAGATGTACTGAGAAAGTCCCGTTACTAGGGATATTTAAAGCTTCAGTAAAAACAGCACTGAAGTGAGCGACTTGCTCTCATTGGGAGATAGACTGGGTTTTCTCTTTATTCATGTGTTCCACATACAGTGGTAGCCTTGCCTTTCGTTAGCCAACTTTCATGATGAAGGGAAAAAAGCCAATTTTATAAAGATTTTTTAGGATCCTCATTTGAATAGGCATTCCCGAAAATCCCACTGTTGGCCCACTTGCATTTTCAGTCTCCTTCAGTAGCTTTGTGGCTCTGATCTCATTTGGCCTTTCAGTCATCTACGGCTTAGTGACACAGAACAGTGCAGTGCAGCACTATGACCAAACTCCTTTTCTAAATGATTTAGACATAGTCATGAATCTCCTTAGAGGAGTACCCATTTCTCAGTATAAGGATCACTTCTGTCAATTTACCTTGGATTTCAGTTAATCCTGAATTATTAATAATACAAAAGGAAAGCCTAGTTTATTTTCACCTAAGACTGTCCATATGCCACAGGCTGAAATAAGTGGCTTTAAACCCATGGTTTTCAAAAGCCGCAGTGCCACTTACTCTTGCAGAGAAGGCTTCAGAAAACGCCAGTCCAGGAACACTCTAATTCATTGAGTGCCTTTAATGACGGCTCGGTTGCTCGTCCTCCAGGACACTGAACACACATGACACCAGCACCTGTTGCCATCGTGCTCGTCAAAGAGCTGTGCACAGGGGCGCTGCATTTATTCCCTGTGATTTCCGCTTTTCTTCCCATGCCTGCACAGCTGGGCTTACAGCACTGAAAACACCTGACTTTGCAATAGGAAACATAGTCAGAAATGGCCTCAATGATTTCTCTGTTTTCATCATTCTTAGCAACAATGTGGTTTTCTTGCATGGTGTGTATAAACTGAGTATCTGAGTGGAAGCAAGGGTAGAAAGATTTTTAACATGCACAAAGAATGGTCTGTACAACACTCAGGTCAATGTTAATTATTATTGAGCTTCAGAATCATCAAAAATGCAAACACAACAGTTAAACCCCAGCACAGCTTAGTGCTGAAGACTATAACTCTTCAATAAAATGCAATCTCATCTGCTTGTCTGTCAAAAAGAAAAATGTCATCACAGAAAGCAGTCAGCCTATCAGCTACTATTCTCAGTGTAGTTATAGTCTGCCATGGGGAGAATGTGATACTTTACACACCAAACCAAATCTGAGACAGGATGACCCACGAAGCCCCTTCCTGCTTCCCCAGGCACCCTTCAGTATGTGCTGTTGGC